ATATTTCTGGTTTCAGTTAATATATCATAGTCTATGCATAGTGTTTTAAATCTATAATCTCAACCCTCAGGAGGCTGAGGCAAGAGTTGAGTTCAAGGCCAGAGTGAGTGCATCGTGTAACCCTGTCTCAAACACACACACACACACACACACACACACACACACACAGCACAGCACCTCACAACTTACCTCAAAACAAGTAGAAAAGAATAAATTTCGTACCCAGTAGAGTACTATTGAGGGAATAGAGAATGGCAGAGTGGTACCAGCGCAGTGATACCCACCTTTAATCCCAGCACTCAGGAGGCAGAGGCAGGAGAGGTTAAACTGAGGTCAACATGGTCTATACAGTGAGTTCCAGACAAGCCAGAGCTACACAATATTATTCTATTAGAAAACAACAACAAAAGACAAACTGGAGATGGCCAAACGGCTTTGCTAGAGAAGTCTTCCTTATGAGGGTTGAATATCAAGAAGATTTTTAAATTAAAAGGCTGATGTGGATGGCCAGAAAAGCTGGAAGGAAGTTTAGATTCAAGAAATGATTATTGTAAGTCAAAGCTGCCTAGGGAACCCTGTGAGTTTGCTAGTGGACTCTGATGTTGTAAAGTAAAGGTTGCATACTTGCTTTTCCGGCTCTCAGGCTTCAGTCCTCTTCTTGCTAATCAGCTGCTTAAGAGTGAAGAGTGCTGCTTGGGTGTTTATACCAGGTACATAACTGAATGAACAACTTCTGCGTCTCTGCTTAAGATAGACGGAAACGTAAAGGAACGGTAGCCCTTGGCTTATAATATTGCAAAAGGAATCTAATGACCTCAGAGTAAAAACAAATTTTGGAGCTGGTAATTTTCGTAGCTCAGTACTAGAGCATCTGTCTGATCTGTCTGCCCACGTGTGAGGTTCTAGTTTAGGTTGCCAGCAATCTTCCTGATTCAGCCTCTCAAGTACTAGGGTCAGCCTGTGTTTAAAATGACACACACACACATACACATGCTCATGCATGCTTACATACTTGGGATCAGGACCTTGTTCATTCTAGAGGAATGTTCTATCATTGAGCTACTCAGCAACCTTAAAAAAAGTTTCCCCACAAATTGTAAATAAATGCATATCATGTTTCAATATGAAACTTCTCTCAAAATCAAATTATAAGTTTGTGCAGGATTATGTGGGTAAGTTTAGCTGAGCAGAATAAACTTTTGATCTAAAATATCCATAACTTTCTCTTTTGCTGAGGTGGGTATCTCAGGTAGCAATTAGACTTCTAATAGTTTTATCAGTGGATATGCCCCTTACTGCTGATGGGGAAAGTTTGTGTTTATGAGCATTTACCAATTTAAAAGAGGAAATTATTTGTCTGTAATAATGTTAAGATTGCCTTGGGGGCTGGGTATGGTGGCACCCACCTTTAATTCCAGCACTCAGGAGGCAGAGGCTAGAGGATCTCTGTGCATTTGAGGTTAGTCTGATCTATATAGTGAGTTCCAGGACAGCTAAGGCTAAGTAGAGAAACCCTGTCACAAAAACAAACAAGATTGCCTTAAGGGATTGGCAAGAGAGCTCAACAGGTAATGTTTGCTGCACAAGCCTGGAGACCCGAGTTCAATTCCAGGAACCTTTGTAAAAGAAGAAAGGATGGCACTGACCCCACAAAGTTGTCCCCTGACCTCCATGTGTGCACTGCTGGGGTGTACACACATGCATGTACACATGCATGCACACATGCAATCATAAATAATTTTTAATTTAAAAATAGACATAAATTTAAAGACTATCTTGGGTCCATCTTGGCAGTAAGGAACTTCAAGGAAGTACATTATTTGGGTTTCACATGATGCTCAGCAGTTAAGGGACTTTATTATGAGAGTTCTCTTCATGCTGAAACTTGGCGCATTCCAGAGGTAAAATTTGTATGGGTGTCTGTGACCGGTGTGAGAAAGAAGCCACTTGAGAAGTTAAGACACATGCAGGAGCATGCTGGCCCTTGTTCTCCTCTCTTCAATGTGCTCTTGTCCTCATTTCTTTCTGAAGCCATAATTCAATCTTTCTCTCCCAATAGCAGCCTCATTACAACTAAATTTTAATCCTCAATGTTGTTAGATTCCTATCCAGAGTACAGCCACAGCTGCTCTTGGCGGGCAAATGCATTGCTGTTTTTCCCTCAGTCACAGCGAGTAGAAAAATGTTCTCTGGCTGGAGTGTGGATGAAGGCACTTCACTAATCTTATACATAATTCATCCTCTGTTGCTGGGGTACTCAAAGTTGAAACTCTGCCCTCTGATAAAATTCAGCTGGATTTTTTATTTACTTGACTCTGATCCCTTTGGGGGTTTCGCCTTTACTGGGAGACCAGGGACTCTAATTTAGCTAAGCCCTGCTTGTGAAGACTATTCTTATTCATTTGCTCTTGGTCTATTTTAGCTATTGTAATACCACCTTTTAAAAACAAAACAAAAACTACACTGGAACATGCAGTTCAGAGAGTCCTGGATACCCTGAAAAAAAGCTTTCAGGATCAGCTTGTTGAATGGAAGAACTCCAAAAGGCTTATCTTAATTTGTTTTCAAAGTTTAGACTTTTAAAAGAGCCTCAGCATTAAAAAGAATATGCTAACTGTTAAGCACACTATAAATCTTTGAGTTTCAAATTCATTGCATTAAAGTATTACTACTAATGGATTTGTTTGTTCGTTTTTGGTGTTTTTGTGTGTGCTTATGTGTGCAGTGAGAGTGCCTATCGTGTGCATGTGAAGCCAGCTGTCAACATTTGTTGTCTTCCTTTGTCACTCTTTACCTTGGTTAGACAGCATCTCTCACTGAACCTGGAACACACTGATTGGCTGGACTCCTCTGTCTCTGCCCTCGCAGGACTGGGATTATAGGTACACAGTGCTGTGCCTGGCTTTTTATGTAGGTGCTAGGAATTAGAACTCAGGGCTTCTTGTTTATGCTGCAAGCACTTTATGAGCTGAGTCATTCCTCCCAGCCCTTGTTAATTCTTTATGCAATAAATATATATATTGGTTTCCTTTATGAAGTATGAGATACAATTCTTGTTCACAAATAGCTCATAGTCTTGAAGTGGAGGGTTGAGCAGGACATGAAGACGTGTAAGTATGAGGTAGGAACTGTTGCCACAGTAGAGACTCTTCCTTCCCTCCCTCCTTTCTTCCCTCCTTCCTTCCTTTTTTCCTTCCTTCCTTTCTTCATTTATTTTTTGAGACAGGGTTTCTCTTTGTAACAGCCCTGGTGTCCTGGAACTTGCTCTGTAGACCAGACTGGTTTTAAACTCACAGAGATCGGCCTGCCTCTGCCTCCTAAGTGTGAGGTTAACCTAAGTGTGAGGTTAAAGGTGTGCACCACCATCAACCAGCTCATTCATTCTCTCATTTTAATTTATTTTAGGTGACAAGTTATTTCAGTTTTCTCCAAAATATCTACAAAGGTCAATCTAGACTCATGGAGGGCACTCCTTTCTGTATACATCTGGCTAGAGTCCTTAAATCCAGCAAGATACAGAAAGAAGAATCTTTATTCTCTTTCAAAGCTGTAACATGGAATATTTTCATCTTTATGTTTCGCTGCCTAAGTTTATAGCTTTATAAGGTAATATTTAGTATAATCTCTGTATAAATAGTTTAGGAATTAACACAAAATGAAGAGCTCCTCAGTGACACACACACTTAAGAAAAGTCTCACCTCCTAGTCCCATAGTAACTGCCATAAAGCTCCTATCCCATATTTTTCCTCTATTATATTATCTCATTCCTAATAGTGACAGGTTCCTTGTGGCTGAAGGACATCCCAGGTGAAAGTAAAATACTATGTCATGGGAGCAGACTAGAATACTGAGTTAGAAGCAGTACCTTGGTTTCTGTGTGTGTGAGGAAAAGGACTGGAGACAATGCCCTACATCTCCCAGAGCTCACACGCTCACCACATAGCTGTCTAACCCTGCAGCACTAGCCATAGGCATGTGCCATGCACATTTCAAAAACCAAACAGAAGGACACTGGGATACAGCAGTAAGTTCCTATTGTGCTCTCTTCCAAGCTGAGTGTTGTTCAACTCTGAATCCTTCACGAGTCTGTCTTTCTAGGAAGGACCTCCAAGTTGTTTGCTTTACAAGTAAGTGAAAATAGTTCTTTCGAGGCAGGGTTTCTCTGTAGTTTTGGAGCCTGTCCTGGAACTTGCTCTGCAGACCAGGTTGGCTTCTAACTCACAGAGATCGCCTGCCTCTGCCTCCCGAGTGCTGGAATCAAAGGCTTGCGCCACCACCGCCCAGTGAAAATAGTTTGTTTTTATTTTTTATTTATTTGTATTTTATGTACATTGGTATTTTGCCTGCCTGTGTGTATGTATGAAGATGCCAGATTTCCCTGGAACTGGAGTACAACTGTGAGCTGCCTGTGGGTGCTGGGAATTGAACCCAGGTCCTCTGGAAGAGCAGCCAGTGCTCTTCACTTCTGAACCATCATCTCTCCAGCTCCAAATATTGTCTTTACTGTGCTGCCGCAGTCAACTAACATGCACTAACTGGATCCCTGAGGTTATGACCTTAGGGTGTTCATGTTTTGAAACAGGGTCTCACTGTGTAGGCCAGGCTGACCTCACATCCCAGCCCTTCTTGCCTCAGCCTCTGAGTACTAGAATTACTTATACATATCAAACTCTACACAGAGCCTGTGCCTACTGAGTTTATACAAGTCAGGTATCAGTGAAAAAGGAAACAGGCTAAATGATGTTTGTGGAGTAGAAGAGCAGGGCCTGAAAACTGTGCTAGAGTGTTGAAGAATAAGCTAATTAAGTCAGTGCTGTAGCAGATAAAAGGGTATCAGATCATGTGAGTCATGACTCGAAGGCAGCAGATGGAGGCTTTGGAATTCCCTGGTGACTGTTATTTCTCTGGCAATCTCTCTGAGCTTGCCAAACCTACTGAAGTAAGCAGTAGTGGTCCCTCTCTGCGTAGGTTAACAGAATGTCCATTTCCAGATAGAAAGTTCAATGTATAACGGCAGCTTTTAATGCAGAGTCTAATTGGCGACAGGGTGGGAAGAAAGCACGCCCATCTGGCTGTGTGGTAGGGAGCCCATTCCCAACCATCATTCACCTGTATTCCTATGACACTACTGACTGTCTGCTAGCATTTGGTCTCTAGGATGACAATTCCAGCCCTTTGAACTCTGTGAAGCTACTCCCCACTCTCACAGCATTGGAACAAAGATAAGGAACATGGTTATTTAGCCTTTTCCCTGAACTTTTATCTTCTGGATGGCATTAAGAGTAACCATATCTCTGTTTCAGCCTCAAATTCCATATTGAATTTTTTAAAATTGCTTTTTGAGCAATAACTTTTCCCATGTTGCTTAACCAGTCATGCAAGCTGAGGCTTCTGTCGCTAGGCCTATTTTATAATAGCTGTCCTGGGAGAAGAGATGAAAAATAAGACAGTTAGATATTTTATGAGTATTGTGATCCCCTCCATTCAGAAATGTAAATAAAATAACCAGCACGAGCAATCAGCTTATGTCAGATTCCATGAGTTTACATTACATGGAGAAATTATAGTGCAACCTGAAACATGCTGCTTCAGGAATTCATGGTGGTGTCACAAGTGAATGTAAACCCCTGAGCTTTCCTTTTGTGAAGGCTTTCAGAAATCACCTTTAATAAACTGCCTAGGAGAGGAGGGATAACAGCTGAGATGACACTAACCAACGCTGTACCTGCAGAGTCGCAGCCTCCCTTCCAGCACCCACTCACACCAGCGAGGTGAAGCAGAAAGCTGAGATACTGCTTACCTTTGGGCTTATTCAAGGAGCATTAAAATACAAGTACTCAGCATCACACTGGGTCCAGTGCACAACCAGTGTTTATGCTGGCTCTGAAAGTGGCATCAGGAAAGCAGATAGAGGAGCAGGAGTGCCTTTGTGCTCTTTGTCCTTGTAGGTCCAGTACGACAGAAGCCTGCTAAAGGCCGTTTTTACCTAACCAACTGCAAGATCCGCATGGGCTCAGAACTGTCCGCCTTTAGCTGTTGGTCCAGTGCCCTGTAGTTAGAACTATCTTCTCATTTATCAGTTAACATGATTTGTGGTCTCTCAATTCTTTAGAAGTTTCCCTCTGTCCACTGTGCCCTCACATATGATAAATCTGTGGCCACAAAAATCCAGTATACCGAATGAAATATGGGAGTCAAGTTTTAAGGCTCAGAGTGAGGGGAAGAAATGTATTTTCTATGTAAATTATTTCCTTTTCCCATTCTCATTTCTTATGCATTTGACTTGATTGATGTCAGGTTTGGGGCCTAATACTACATTAATGTATCATAGCACTGGGTGTTTAATATCACTTAATTAACCCAGAATTTCAAATGATAGGGATCTGTAGTTAATGCATAGCTTTTTGGTGGCTTTCACAAACACCCATCTCTTTGAGTCCTTGTATCAAATGAACTCATCCCAGTGCTCTGCCAGAGATGCCCCTAGTTCACTGCCATAGCTGCCGTGCAGCTCTTATGAGACACTGAACCTTTTGACACAATCACATCGTAATAAAGCTCTGGTCTCAGCATTCTGATTTCTCTGTAATCCCCAATGTATATAGTATATACTTGCTTGAAATTCCTCATATATTGCTCGTACATTCTTGCTTGTAAGCTTCAGCATGCACCAGTCCCTTCAATATAGAATGCCTTCCTCTGCCTTCCATTGTTCATGCTTTATCTTATAACATTCCAGCCCTTTGGAAAACCATCTCTAATGAATTTCATTCATTCACGTTTTCTTTCATCTAAGACTTGTTTCCCGGTCTCTTAACTAACTGTTTGTCTCTTTGTAACTGTTTCTGCATATTGTCACCCAACAACCTGATGCTAACAATGATGATCATTCTCTAACCCCTTTGCCTTTTTTACTCTATGCAAACCTCTGAAGGCCCACAGGTGGTGGGCCTTTCAATGTCCTAGTGCACATCCATTCCCTTTCCTTTTACTTTAGAGATGTATCCTAGAGAAGCAAGGTATCTGTTGAGGGCTCGGCCTCCATGTCAGCACGTGGGTCCTATGATCAGGAAATATTAGCCCTTAGATTTGTCCATTTTTGCATTTTTCTCAGACACCGTCGCACTACACACACGAGACCAGGAGTAGACCCAAAGACAGAAGTCGGGAAGGTTCCACTGAAGGCCAACTTAGAATTTTCCTTCCTTTTTACACAAGATCTATGAAGCTGCTGTTGTCAGCAGCTCAGCAGACATACCCCTGCTCTGACTCCTTCCCAGGAGTCAGGGTTAGTTTAAGAAAAACCTCTGTAGAAGCCATGACCTCGTACTTTTATCCCCTCCATCTGGTGTGCGGCCTCACGGGGCTGTGCTGCTATGCAGGAGGTGAGCAGTGGAATTCTTCAGATGATGACTTCTGAGCCCACATGTGGAGGCAGCTGGGGGGGTGGAAAATAGGAGAGCAGTGAGAGCCAAGATGGATGGACCAAAAACCAAGGTTTGCTGCAGAAGGAATCCTAACTATAGGTAGGTGTTCTTTCCCCAGCTCAAGCAGGGGCCCAGGTCAGAGAGCTGTAATGTCCCAGCCCATGATTGATGAACACTGTGTTTCTGCAGCCTCGTTTCTGACTTCCCAGTTGGGGTATACCAGTGGGATACATAGGGTATTGGAGGGCTTACCCTATCTATCTCTAACCAAGTGTATGCCAATGTGGGACCAATAGGGGCCAGCTGAGCTAGCTACCTCTTCTCCTGTCTTCAATTAAATTTTGAATAAGGGTGGAAGGAGGAACCGAGGAAAGCACGCTTTTGGTCAAATGAAATTTGCTGACTGCCTCATCTTAGAGATTTTTCTCTGCATCATAGATATCCTTTGTCTTAGGTGTATCCAGACAACAGCCCAGAAGCCACATGTATCTGCACATAGCAAACAATAACTAAATGCAGCCCAACTCAAAATGATAAGCTTACTTAAAACATGAGAGGTTTTGTGATTTAAAAAAAAAAAACTTTAACTGCACAGTTCTCAAGTGAAGACTTTGTATTATATTGTCAAAGTTAGACACAGCTGGTACTGGTAGATGAAATGCCTGTCTCAGTGAGTGGTCCAGGGGTTTATACTGTTTCTTAGGGGGGCTTGGATGGGATAATATTTTAGCTTTTCCACCACATAGTTAGTTGTGGTTCTTTTTTGTTTGTTTGATTGTTTCTCGAGACAGGGCTTCTCTGTATAACCACCATGACTGTCCTGGAACTCCCTTTGTAGACCAGGCTGGCCTCGAACTCACAGAGATCCGCCTGCCTCTGCCTCCTGAGTGCTGGGGTTAAAGGCGTGTACCACCACTGCTGGGTGGTAGTGATTCTTAAAAATAATGAAGTCTCAAAGGCAATTCCAATACAAGCCCAGCGTCTACTCATTTCTTCCCATGACTACTCCGACTCTGCCTATGCATTGAGCACCACTGTAAAAGAAAAAATTTAGAGAAATAAAAGAACAATTTTAATGTTAATCTGAGGGATGGAGGAGTGGGGCCTCAGAGAATGACAAGCAAAAGCTGTTGAGATACAGGGTTCTTTGTAGAGTGACTCTGGATAGTGACAGTGACAGTGGGAATGGATGATGTCTACAGGTTAGGGAAATGTAGTCCTAGCCTTTATAAGGTCTGCTCAGATACTCTGCTGGCAGTATAGGATTCTTGTGTGGGTTGGGGCTGTTAACATCAATTTCTGTTCTGAAGTGTTGGTAAGCTGACACCCCCAGTCCCAGCATCCTCGGGCTTTGAGGAGAGTACGTAGTATTTGAAGCTAAAAACAAACAAGCAAGCAAACAAAAACTAGTTGTAGTGGTGCACGCCTTTAATCCTAGCATTTGGGGGGGGGGGGTGGATCTCTGTAAGTTCAAGGCCAGCCTGGTCTACAAACCATTCCAGAATAGCCAGGACTACAGAGAGAGACCCTGACTCAAGAAGAAAAAATAAATAAATAAGCAAGGTTTGTGTTCTGGCTGGATCATTCATTGAACCTCTCTGAATGACAACATAAAATAGAGCAATCCCCACCTCGCAACCCCTGGAGTGATTGTGAGACCTATACCTACATGCCCGGGCATTTTGTGCACAAAAGGCTTTTGTGAGCATTATTGTTATTCTTGGGGAAGCCCCACCTTGGAATTTGTCAAAGGCTGCTTACAGGACAGTAGTATTGACAAAATGTTATCGGATTTTTGGCCTTCTTTGGTTAAAAAACTCCTGTGTCCTGATTCTCTAAGTGAACAAAGAAAAGGTACTTCAGCGTCAGGGAGCAAAGCAGAGAAATGTCCATCTTGCATTTTTAAATCCTGGATGACCACAGCAGCCTATGTAAACAGCCACAGTGATGCTCAGAGGTAATCCAGCTATGCATGCAAGTGGGGAAAGTAGTTTTCAGACCCCTCTATCCCTTTCAACTTTGGGGTTAAGTTCAGGTCTACTACCTGTGAAAACTGTCAATCATCCAAAAAGAAAGCTAACTCTGAGAAAGCTTAGTTCAGTCTGCAACAGTGACATCTTTACTCCAGTAAACCCACTGCTCCTGCTCTTCAGACACCTGCCTCTCTTACAGAGGACATTCCTGGAACCAAAGGTATCCTGTTCTCTAGCCCAGTAAGTTTAAAACAACAACGGATCATAAACACCAAGCTCAGTGTCTATGTGTGACTTCAGAGCGGTCACAGGCGACTGGGTAGTCAGGACACGGAGGATGCACTCCTCCCCGTCCCCCGTGCAAACCAGGTTTGAGAAGTTGCACAGACTCAGCCACTCTGCTTGGGTGGTGATTCTCCACCCTTGATCTCTCTTCTCCGCGCCCTTTCCGTGTCCTTCCTCCACCACCTCCCGGGAGAGTACCAATTCCCAAAACAAACATTGCATTGCATGTTGATAATGTAGTTTTGAAACATTCCTCGCTTGTAGCTGACCCTGTTGTTGGTATGATTTGGGGGGGGGGGGAGGATCTAGATGTTGGTTTTTAATTGTTGGAAGTGAGACTATGATAATTCCCACACAGGCTGAGAAAAGCTGTGTGAGCTCATTTTGCGTGCACCTTCTGCATGTGCGCATATATGTGTGTGTCCTCATGGTTGCGCTCAGGCTGACAGGAAGGGCAAAGAGTAAAAAGGAAATGCGTCTTTCTTATTTTCCAGCATTGCTTCAAAGATGCCCAACCCCCGCAGTACAGGCAGTTCCCAAGCGGAAGGTGGGGGCAGAGGCCTCCAGCAAGGCCATCAATAACCAGGTGTGTAATGTGAGGCTCTCTGTATTTCATTTCTGCACCCAGGGCCAGCTCTGCAGGGTTGCTTACGGAGCGGAGCGCTCTGTGTCTGGCACCTCTCTCCACCAGACCCAGGCGCCCAGGGCCCACCGACCTGCCCAGGAATGCACTGCATTGTTCTCTGCTGCTGTAATTTGGCTGCAGGAGCGAGGCTGAATGCCTCCCAGGGAGGAGAAACACACTCTCCCTGGCGGCCTCCCTTATCCCCAGCTAGCTTGGGCTTCTGCCCTATGACCACTGAGAGCATTTAAATAAAAAGTTTAGAAAGGCGGGGGGTGGGGGTGGGAAATCCTGATTATCTGTCTTCTATTAAGCCATGCAGAAACTTATGTCCTGAGTGGGGTCTAAGAATTTGGCAAGGGGCTTGGTGGTTGGCGTTCTTGATAAGGGATGTGAGAGAAAGGGGAAGAATAGTCTCCTGCAGCAAAGAGGAAGAGAAACAAGGCTGAGAGTGTTCGAAAATTAGATCTACAAAGCTTGTAGCAAACAGACCCTCAGGATAGTGTTTTCTTCTAATCCCAAGTCCCTGATTCACATTTACATTTACTCTATTTGAGAGTGTGAAGGAATGCTATGTTTTAGAGCTGAAATCAGTATGATTTGGCAGTACTTCATCGGGGGCTGTGGCGGGCATTCTTACTTTCCGGGTTTTGTTTGTTTGTTTGATTTCGTTCTTAGGCTAGCATGGAGCTCACTGTGTAGCACAGCCTGATCACAAACACAGCAGTTTTCCTGCATCAGCCTCCCAGAGTGTCAGGATTACAAGTGTGAGCTATCACCCCAGCTCTTCTATTGAAAAGAAACTGGCTGCAGGCTGTGCAGCCGAGGTTCTTCAGTCACGTGCCTTCCCCCAAAGATCAACAGTATCTTTTAAGTTCACTTTATATCCAAATAGCACTTACTGAAATGTGCACTGTACTAAATGTTTACCAAAAGATAAAAGAAATGAGGACCAACAAGAGGGAAAGAGAAAGGGGGAGAGGTTAAGACCCTGCTGGTGGAGGACACACTTCTCCCATGGAGACCCTGCTGGTGGAGGACACACTTCTCCTATGGAGACCCTGCTGGTGGAGGACACACTTCTCCTATGGAGACCCTGCTGGTAGAGGACACACTTCTCCCATGGGGAATAGGTGGGAGAGGGGCCTTCAGAATGGATGAGGGTGGAACAGAGCTATGTGGAGCCCCAGCACCAAGAAAAGTTCTTGTTTTTTTGCTTGTTCCAAATAAATCAGTTTCTGTTTGTATAGTGTAGAATCAACGCCAGTTGTCTAAAGCCAATTGGAATGCAGAGACAAGCTAAGTTCTAAGGAAAAATTAATTGCTTGGCCATCATTCCCTCTTGGGGCCACACAGCTTCTGTAGCAGGGCTCGGATAGACATCTTTTCTCTCATATAAACACCTCACTTTACAAACTTCTCACTCCCTGAACAGCCACCTCTCTCTCAGCCATTTATAAGTGGTTGTGCATCTTTATCAGCTAGAATTTGGAGTGCAAGGAGAAACATGGAGTAATATGAACTGTCACAGAGGACTACCACTTCTTTCCATAAACTAAGAACCCCGAATCAAAGGGTAGGTGATACAGCACAGGTAGATTGAACTTAGGCTGGGTTCCTGTAGAAGGCCTGTGCCATCACTGATGTAGTAATTTGGATGTCTTCACCCCTGCTCCCAAAGCTTCCCCCCTTTTAAGAGAAGATCCTCTTCCCCTCCCATTCCCCCTCCCTAATCCCACCACCAGCTCATCAGTTATCCAGTTGACTCTACTCTGCAAGGAAGACATTCTCTCTGCCTGACTCATTCGGTCCCATTTCTCCACAGTCATCCCCTCACCACAGACCACAAGAGCCCTGACTAGCTCATGTTTTGTGTTAATGGATGTGAAACCGGAGCAAATCCCCTCACCAAAAGAAAAACCACCCTAAACTCTCCCACACAGGTCTCAGCAGGTTACACAAATATTAGTCCTATCATCCAAATAAATCTGCCTCCGTGGCCAGAGCCACCCCCTCCCCGCCCCCCACAACCTCCTGCTGCCTGGGCAGAATGAAGTTGCTCCACAAACATCTGAGAACCCGATTGGATAAAGAGGGACCAGAGGGAAAGAGCTCAAGGCCCTATATCCAGAATTCCTTGCGAAAGCTCCTTAATCTCCAGTCTGTTATCAAGACCAGACAATCCTAAATTAGAAGTTCCTAGAGAAGTTAGGATGTACTTGATCAGTCAGAGGTTTGATGATGTATATCTCAGTATCTGAGCGAGGCATGTACCCTCATTTTACAGCTGAAAAAACGGGCCCGGAGGATTGAAAGAGTCTGCTGAAAGTAAACACAGTGAGTGCGTAAATGGCTGGCAGCGAACCTCGGCCCGTCAGACTGCGGAGTTCTGTAATACTGCTGTTTATCAGTAGGCAAGATGATCACTGTGTACTCATACAAAACTAGGCCATCAAGAGTTCAAAGCCCATATCCTACCTTCTAGCTTTCCATGCCTGCTGCCTTTGAAGACTCCACTACTGCGAACCCTAGTTAGGCTAGTAGCATAGAGGGAACCCTCCCTGTTTAAGTCCATCATGGATGGGCAGTAGTTATCAGTAGGACTTGGAGAATCACAAAATAAAGATTTGCTGAGTAAATGGGGGAAGGCTACTGTCTTCTAAGGTGTCTACCACTTTGGAACCAACTCGTTCTCTACATAGCGACAGGCTTTTGCTCCCGCGTCAATGCTGAAGGTCCTCTCCTAAAGAGCTGCCGAGAGGAGATCTCGCCAGCTTCCTGGTCTACACTGATCCTCATGCAGCTCTTGAGATCAGGTTTAGCCCATGAGTTGCCTGCCCTTCACTTAGTCTTTTCCAAACCTACCTAATGTCCAGAATAACTGATGGGGGAGGAAGTCCCAAGGCCTAGCCAGGCTTAATATACTATTCTCTCACAGTTCTGTTCCAGGGCTCTAACGGTCTATTAAGACTTTGAACCACTGCAAGCTACCTCACTCTAACAAGCAGCCAGTGAGCAGGCTGCTGCTGACTGATGTAGGTGAAAAAGGAGACACAGAGAATGTGCATTTGTACAGTTGTGTGATTTCTCCCCTCACAAAACCACTGGTTTATAAGCTGTGTAAGAGCATGGGATGAAGCCTTGTTCACCGTGGCTGACACATCTAGCTACCTCGGGGTCTCAGCAGAATACTGTAGCCTAAGATTGTCTGCACAAACTGTCTCCTGTGAAGGGACAGGCAGTTTATCTCTGTCCTATGTCCTTGGCTACAGTAGGATCAAAAAGGAAGCTACCTCCAGATTCCCTTCCTGTTGCATACCCAAAGAGTATCAGAAGTCAGTGCAAGCAAAGGGGACAATGAGCCTTGAGTTTAGTGCAACTCAGATCACTCTGAAGAGAACTCCTACCTCTTCTACTCTCCCTTCAAACCTCCAGTGGGATAGCAGGGAGCCACTCACTCCCATCCCCATCCCCATCCCCTATCAACTCCTTCCTAGGGCTAAGGAACCAGCCAGGACATTGGGGTCCTCCTGGATCACTCTCCAAGTCCATAACAGAAGCTGTAGCAGCCCAGGATTGAGGGTGGAGGAAGGTGTGCATGCAAAGATCTTGTGCTTTTGAGTTGGAGGCTTGAAGTGGAGGGATGAAAGAGGTATCTGTGCGTTCAGGTCTGGTCCAGCCACTCTGCCTTCTTAGGAGCCTTGCAAGTGTGGACGTCCACAGTGTTCCTGCACTCTTTGCACCGCACAGCACAACACCAGTGGAATTTGCACTCGCACTGGGTGACGCGGGTGACCCGAGTTGTGTCGTACCCTCGGCCACAACACATGATTTCGCAACCATCTGTTCCTTTAGAGGTCTTGCTGCAGACGCGGCCTGCGGTACCTAGGGAACCTGAGTTGAGGAAGAGAGGTGAGAACCAAATTACTTCTTCTGTTTTAGCCACCATGGGTATCCTTATACTCTTAAGAAGACATTAAAAAAAAATCTCTTTTTCTGAAAATGTACCCACTAACCAAAATGATCATTCATTGCCCTCTGGCCCAGGCTCATTTGTTTGCAACATTAAAGCTTCCCAGAGGTTGCCAGTTTCACATGCTATGCCTTTATTACCAGTGCACACTACCATGTCCTCTACAACTGTAAGTCTGAGTGAGCATCTCTCATTTTGTGGGGGTTGTGATGGCATCTGGATTTAAATCCTGGTTGGGCCACTTCATAGCTGTAGTTATTTAGCAAGTTAGTGGATGTGTTGGGCCTCAGTTTCCATATATGAAAGCATATATACTAGCAGGTCTGGTAGCACGTGCCTGTAACACCATCATGCAAAACACTGAGGCAGGGGAGTCACTTTTAGGCTAGCCTGGGATATGTAGTGAGTTCGCGGCCAAGTTGGAATGCATAGCATGATCCTGTCTCAGGGAAACAAAACAGCTCAACATCTAATGTAATAAATTGTTATGGTGCACTCATCACTGCTGTCCAGCAGAGGTGGACCGGTCGCCATGCCTGGTAGAGGCATATCTCTGAGAGTTCCTGTATTGTGCCCCTTTCAGAAGGGATTCCTAAAGAGTAAGAAAGCTTTCTCCTTGCACAAGGAATGCTCAGGACCTCATTCCAATAGATGTCATCACAAAAGGTCCTGTAACCCTTTACCCAGTAACAGGGACCCATAAGTGGAAAAGTGACTGGCCTGAGACTTCAAGAAAGAAAATGGATCAACTAACTTCAACAACAATAGTCTCCATATTCCACTAGGATATGAGGGAAAAATGAAGAACTTTTATTATCTTTGTGCTTTGGCTTATTGGTTTAAAATCTCTGTTTTAGGGCTAGGAGTATAGTTCAGTGGTAAATACTTGACTAGCATTTGCAAGACCCCGCATTGGATCCCGCACTATAACAATGATGACAACAAGAAAAACATAGATAACATGCATATCTTATAATATACACAGTGCAACAGCATGAGTGGAATGTCTAAGAATGTGCTCAATTTTCTCCTTTAAAATTTTTATATGTATGTATGTAAGTAAATTACAGGCATGCATGGGCCACAGCATACATGCAGAAGTCATGAGGGAGTTGGTTCTCTCCTATATTATAGCTCCTGGGAGTATCAAACTCAGGTTAATAGGGTTTGCACAAGCACCTTTACCTGCTGAGCCATCTTTCCAGCCCTCAGTTTTACTTAAGATTTTGTTTATTTATTTGTGTGTGTGTGTGTATCTTCTTCTGTGTGTATGCACACTTGTGTCTGGATGCCCTCGTAGACCAGAGGAGGGCATCAATCCCCAGGAGCTGGAGTTACGGGCAGTTCTGAGCAGCCTAATGTGGGCTCTGGGGACTGAACTCAGATCCTCTAGAGGAGTAGCAAGCACTCTTAGCCACTGTGCCATCTCTCCAGTCCCTCCATTTTTTTTTCAACAACAGGAATAATTAATCCAAAACGTTAGTAAATTACTGGTCCAGACTGTGGGCTGAATAGGTCTACTTCATATGTTATTCTGACTCCAAGGACTGGGTCTTAAACACCGAAATCCTCTTGCCGTCTGGAGCTATGCTATCCAGTACCGCAGCTACTAACTGCATCTGCTCTCTTAAATCAGTGAATTAGAGTGAGCTAAACTAAAACGTTCCAGTTTCAAATTGGACTAACTCTGTAGTAGTCCGTCACACTTGTTCACGGTTTTAGTCTCTGTGGCTTGTTACCCAACATCAACTGTAGTTCCAAAAGTATTAAATGGAAAATCCAAAAATAAATGATTAAAACCTGTAAATATTTTATCATACCATGTTATTAAAGTTATCTTGTCTGTGACTCAGTGGTAGAGCCCTTGCCCAGCATATTGCAAGGTCCTGGGTTAGATCAACAGCACCACCAGAAAATGGGTCTACTGTCTTATTATTTGTCCTTGTCGTTTATCCAGTCACTCCTAATCTACAAGCTAAGCTCCACCACAGGTGTGTCTGTCTCAGAAGAAGCATGTGCACATAAGGGCTAAGCAGTGCCTGCACTTTCAGGAATTCACTTGTTCAGTTATCACATGTGGCTTGTTGCCTCTGCACTGGAGAAGCAGCAGTGGAGATTCGATCATTGCACCAAAGTTTAGTCGGATAGAACTGCTGTGGAGGGAATACCTGGTTCTGTACTCCTGGGGTGGCTTATACCATTTGGATTCTTTGGGTTTATGGGACCTAATTTCATGCCTCTGAGAAAAATTCATATGCATATGACTCGTCCTCCCTCCTAACTCCAAAGATCCTTCTCCGCGGGTACATTTCAGAGATGTGAAACAGGTCTATTCCCAGGCGTCCAGAGATCAACCCTTTGAGTTAGAACACATGGAAAAACTAACTCACGACAGTACGTCTCTAGGAGAGGCCAGAGAGCCTCCCCAACCCTTCTTACTTCTAGTACTACAAACTGCACATGTACCTTCCACTATCCAGTGGAGCACTGCCCCCTCTGTGGGCTGAAATGATGAGAATGAAGCCAGCCAAGGTGGGTGGCTACTGAATCTTGACTAGTGACTCTCCAGCAAAGAGCTGGGAGCCCAGTGACAGGGACCAGGAGAGAAGCCGCTCCTCTGAGCCACACACTATCCCTGGTTTAACTTATCTAGACCAGAAATCACGAGCCAAGATGGGAGTTTCCATTCTCATAGAAACACCTTGTCACTTTGCACTGTTCCCAAGGCCCCTTGCCCAGCATCGCACATACATAGAACCAGCTGAAGACAGCCGTAAAGCTTGTTACCAAGTGTTTGCTGCTTCAGCAGCCTTTGCAGAGGTCACCCCCTGTCTTCCTCAATGCTGGAATCAACAGTGGCAGCACATCAAGAAGCAGCTTGATTCCCCATGTTCAAACAAACCTTCCTTGACTGCATTGCTCATCTTCCTTTGGGGGGGGGGGCTTTTGAGACAGTTTCTCTATAGTCCTGTCTGTAGACCAGGTTGCCCTCGATCTTAGATATTCACCTGCCTCTGCCCCCAGAGTGCTGGGGTTAAAGGTATGGCCACCATCGTCCAGCTAGTCATCTTTGTAGTACCTTTGCTTACTATGTCGCCTTTGAGGGAGGGGGGTAGTAGGGGATGGGGTGTCAGACCCAGGACCTTGCACACACGAAGCACATGCTGCATCAGCTGAGCTCCATCCCCAGCTCCATCTTCTTTCTTTAGCTAGATCGTAAAAAAGCCAGCGGCTTAGAGCTACATCTGATGCTTCTGTGTAGCTCTCCTTGCTCAGAACTGAAAACAGGTGGCTCATTTAAATGTTCTCCAAGTAGTATCCCAGACTCTGGGGATGTAGCCGAGTGGCACGGGACCTGTTTGTGTAACCTCGGGCCTGGCAGCCTGAGGCACAAACCCACCTATCTCAAGACCAGATTGTTTCCCTTCCTGAACTCCTGCACACCGGACAGACCCAGATTAAGCAGGAGCGCTGGCACTAATCTCCAGGTCCCACGTCTCTCTCTCTGCTTGCCGCTCTCTCACCTGCAGCCTTGTCCAGGACACAGTAGTCAGGGGAGTTGTCAAAGTAGACCAGATCAGTCCGGGTGGCATGGCGGTAGCCTTGGCGGGCCGCTGTGAAATTGGCGCCGTCCTGGGTGGCGGTCACCTGCACGGCCCCATCATACCTCCGCCTCAGGTAGTCACCAGTGCGACGGAAGTCTGAGAGTGCCCTCCAGCAGGTGCGTAGCGTGCAGGAGCCACTCACACCGTGACACTTACATTCCAGCTTCAGAAAGCGCCGCACAGCCTGGGGGAGGGAGGAAGCAGGTCAGGACATGGCTCAGTCATCCCTAGGGTCAAAAGCAGGAGTGTTCAGGGCTCTGCTGGCCCTCTGCTGGATCCCACCCCTTCTCTGACCTCTAGGACACCTTCCTGGATGACTGCCTGCTGGATTGTCAAGCCGCAGGGTTCTGCTCCTGATTACAGCCTACACATCCTTTTAAAGAGCCCAGTGCCATGCCTTCTGCTATATAGCAGGTGTTCAAATACCAGTGAATAGCCTAAAGGAATACCTGAAGGTCTTTATGCAGGAAGGTTTTCCTCTAAAAACCAACTACTTTTGGGCCAGTGATGCTGGTAGCAAGGAAAGGCACTTGCCATGCTGTCCTGGCAACCAGTTTGATCCCCAGAGCCCACATACAAGTGAAAGGTGGGAGCCAGCTCTACAGAGTTGTCCTCTGACCTCCACACATGTACCAGCCCATTCATGTCCACCTGTGTACATCATGCATACACACAGAACAATAATAAAGAAATTAAAAGCTGCCAGGCGGTGGTGGCGCACGCCTTTAATCCCAGCACTCGGGAGGCAGAGGCAGGCGGATCTCTGTGAGTTCGAGGTCAGCCTGGTCTATGGAGCAAGTTCTAAGATGGGCTCCAAAGCTACAGAGAAACCCTGTCTCGAACCACCCCCCACACTAAAAAAATTTATCTGGGTTTAACCCATGTAAAAAGCCAGGCTTGGCAGCACATGGGCTACCTGTAGTCCCAGTGATGGGGATGGGGACAGAAACAGAAGGATTGGAGATAGGAAGATTGCTGGGAACTGAGTTCCAGGTTCAGTGAGAGACCCTGCCTCAAGGGAATAAGGTGGAGAGTGACGGAGTAGGACACCTGCCATCCTCCTCTAGTCTCTGTGAGAAAGCACAGACATGTACATCCACGTATACACATGTGGACGCACAATCATAGACAAATCACATTTTTAAAAATTGAAAATTTACTTTTTTGTTCATCATGGTGGCATGCCCATATAATCCCAGCACCCAGGAGGTTGAGACAGGAGAATTTAAGATCAGTCTAGACTATAGGCAGAGTGAAACCCTGTCTCAAGCAAAGCAAAGCAAGGTGGGGCATGGTGGTACACACTTTTAATCCCAGCACTAAGGAGGTAGAGGCAGGTGGATCTGTGTGAGTTCAAAGCCAGCCTGATCTATATATTGAGTTCCAGGGCAGCCAAAGCTACATAGACCCTGTCTCAAAAACAAAGAAACAAACAACACCCCCCCCCAAAAAAAAGAAAACAAAAAGGAAGGAAACGGAAAGGGAAGGAGAAGGGAATGAGAGGGGAAGAGAAGGGAGGGGGCAGAAAAAAGAGAAAGTTCCTTTCCTGTCTTAGGAAAACCTGGCTGAACCTGTGTATTGCAGGCTTCCTGCATTCTGTGGCAGAATGTTAGGGATTTTGGACGCAATCCAGAAGCTGTCAACCCTTCCACCTCTGACTCCAGCCTGTGGTCACGCTAGCTGGTTGACCCCAGAGAATACGAACATACAGACCCAGATGGGAGTACTGACCGTGCGACCGCAGCGGTTGTTATGCAGGTTCATGAGGGCCCGGGCATCCTTAAGCCTCTTCTCTTTGGCATCCACAAAAGCCTTGGCAAAGCGGACACCATAGTGGATGTTGTCACTACAGCCACCCCAATCAAAGTCCCCTCGCTGGTCATGGTGCCGACCGCGGGTGTAGGGGTCACAGCTGCACACACTCAATTCACCCTGGCTACAGGCCCGAGTGATGGCGTGAACCACTCCTGCTGACGAGATTGCATAAACAAACGCGGCCTCCCGGCTACCTGCACGGGGAGAGGCAGAGACATGTTCCGGGAACGGTTCGTGTCTTCCGTTCTTCCAACACACACACACACACACACACACACACACACACACACACACACACTTGCGCGCGCACACACACGCGCGCGCATTTCTGGGTGTTTTCTACAGAGTCTTAGTCTAATGGTCCAGGCCTGGAATTTGTAACGTAACCAGCTTTGAACCTGAGGTTTTCCTGTCTCAGTATCCCTAGTGCTAGGATTGCAGGGACAGGCCACATGCCCAACTCCGTCCAGTCAATCTACACAATTTCAGAAGTTTCCTTAGCTTTTCGGGAGCCTACTCCACTTATCAAGGTGTCCTTCTCTTATAAGAGCATTCCTTGGAGAAGCCAGTCCCTCCTGCCAGCTCTCACTAGTCACTATCATCTGACCTCTTTGGGATGACCTCCGTTCTGTTTCCCCTAGGTGTCTCTCTCTCTCTTTCTCTCTCTCTCTCTCTCTCTCTCTCTCTC